TATTGTTGACTTTGTAGTGGGTAAAGATCTTGGGACAAGCTTCCCATTCGCCCAATTGATTGAGCTTTAATCCGGTCAGCGACAGGAAAATCGCAAGTTTCCGTGCGCCAAGCGAGTGCACGATTATGCAGGCGTACGCGATACCCTGGGCTCATGGATACGTCTCGGCGTCTCGAGAGTCGAGAGCAATCGGGAGTCGAGTTACCCAGCGCCCGGGAGACAGGCCACCCATCCGACACCGCTGCGTAACGGGCGGGTCCTCGCGGTCGAGCTAGGGGCTCTCTGCGCGCCGAGGTTCGCTTGTGGCCGGGAGGGGGGGGGGAGACACTGTTGGTACTGTGACCGACCGAGGCCCCCTGCGTGGCGCCTGGCGGGCTCGTTCTGAACCCTCAATTGATGGGCTATACGCGACCATATGCTGCACTCATTGCCATTGATTGAACAGCCGACACACTGCTTGGCTTTGATACCCAGCTCCCCCAGGCGTTCCTTTCCTTTATAAAGAGGAGACACCAGAAGCGCATCCCAGGAATAAATCACTGAGTAGAAACGCTATGTATAAACAAAGGAAACATAAATGTTCGTTCCCGTAAAGGTAAAAACTTTAATGTTTTAATATCGAAAGACAAAAATGTGTAAATCTTCCGAATGACAAAATCCTGCGCGACAGTGACAATGCGTGTCTTTCCTTTCTCTCTTATCTTCCACAAACCCACAACATCGGAAAAGTAGGAGCATACGGGTCCCTCTTTAACACGCGGTGGCAAAACAGCCGACCTTAGCACCGTTAGTTAGTGAGGGCTTAGGGTGGCGCCAGGACGTCAAAGGCTATTTGTACTGCCACGAAGAAAAAAGATCAGCACTCACAAGTAATCGCTCAGGGGTGGCAGCCAAAGGACGTTTGTCTCCAAACTTTTGTAGGTAGGGCCCGAATGTCTATGTTATAGTTGTAATTGACTCTGCTCTGAGTTAATAAGGCATCTTCTTACCTTACCATCGGTCCCCACACGGTCCCCACACTTTAGTCTTGTTTATTTTCCCCTTTGGGTAATGTGGGAAAAGAGAGAGAGGGGGGGGGGGGTAACCCATACACACTCACACCCAATGTTCCTGTGGTGAGCGATAAGTACCCGTGGGTGTGTCAGGGCTACGACTCAACGGCATGCGCGAGCATGCGGGTTTGCCTCCTCGCTCCACCCGTCAGGCGCCATATGGCCCCTCTAGGGTAGGCAGACCCGCCACTCTGGTGTGTCGCAGCCCTGACACACGGTGCAGTGTTCGCAAGGTCCCGCTGCTCCCGCTCCAATGCAGTTGTGCCGCTGCCGCTTGTCGGGCTAAATTGAAGGCGTGACGCGACCATCAAACAGATGCATCGCGGCTGATTGAGGTACGGAGCGATCCGGGTCAACGCGCGGCTGTGTTTGCACTTGATCGGTTTGTTTCGTGGGGAGCGCGGGAAACTATACTCTCTGTGGATAGACGTAGCGCGAGAACCGCGGGTTTCGTCTACATTATTCCCACTGGAAATGAGGTCTTCAAAGTCTATCCCGTAGGTGAAATTAAAATTTAGGTTGTCTTTCCCAACAATAGAGGGCCCGCCGCCGCCATCCACAGCAACCGTTGGGTGACACCGCTGACCCGAGATTGAGCCCGGGCCGGGGTCCGGGGTGGAGCGTTATCAGGGCTATTTCTCACTGAGCGGCGGCCTCCGCCCTCGGCCCGGGGAGAGCCGGGGCGGGCCGGGACCAATCGGGACAAAATACAAACACGGGGGGACTCCCTCCTCGGGCAGCTGGGAAAGGGTTTCTCTCGCGCCGCGGGGGTGAGACAAGTGGGAAAGGGGGGGGGGGAGTCGCTGACGACGCCGTTCCCGTGGAAACGGACTTGGCTGTGACGTCATTTTTCTTGTGGTGTTTATAACCACAGTTATTTTGTTCGCGCTTTGGTCTGGAGGGACAGCAAGAAAGGATTTCCGCATTTCGTGAGCGCCGTGCCGGTTCGTCTACCGGTGCAACGCCTTGAATTTGTGACAGTATGCAACAATGTGAATTTTGTCCAGGCGGCGGGCGGCACAAGCCCGTTGAACTGGGGAGGAGGGGCGAGACTGTAGGTGTATACCTCGTGGTAGTCCGACCTTCTTCACGGACGGTCGTCACCTTGACGTCCGTGAGGCACACCCAGAAAACCGTTTCTTTGACTTAACGAAATCACGAACTGACGATATTTTCGTTGATTTGAAGAAAAATTTCTTTATCTCAACGAAGATTTGTTCAATCTGACAAAACTTTCGTTGAGTGAAAGAAATTTTTTCGTTATATGAACGAAAAAGATTTCTTTGGTTTCTGGCACGAAATTTTCGTTGAATTAAATAAAATTTCTTTAATTCAAAGAAACGGTTTTCTGGGTGCACCAGGTGTTGGGTAGGCACGCGACCGGTAGCGACGTGCGGGGTCGTGAGGGGTAGGGTCAAGAATCCGTAAGGGCTCGCGAATGAAAGGGTTTTGTAGATGGGTCGGGGCAGCAAGGGTGCAGGCTAGAGGAGGTGCCACACGGGCAGCGGGCACATGATGTCCCCCGCCCACCTCCTAGTCACTCTACCATAGAGGTGCCTCCCCGTTCCGATTCACGGCCGCCGTCGAGACCGACGCCACCTTTCGCCTCTCGCTCGGCTCCGCTCGGCCCGGCTCGGCTCGGCGCGACTCGGCTCGGCGGCGTGGCGCGCGGCGCGGACGGCGTGGTCGCGGCATCCCCCCAGTCAGTACGCCGGGCGGCGCCGCGCTCAGGCTACAGCACACACCGCCCTCTGCCCGCGCCCCGAGCGCCTCGTCGCCATCCTCCCGAGCGGCGTGGTCGCGGTGTGCCGGCGCACGTCCTGCGCGTGCACCTCAGCACCGGCGAGTGCCTATAGTCCCCGGAGGAAGGGGGTCGCCGTCGTCGACAACCACCCGCCGCCAGCATGGCCGTCGACGAGGACCTGGAGCAGCTCATGGGGCACCTAGGTCAGTGACCAGAACCCATCTCGGCCATTCGAAATCGAACGACGATCTTAGAAGTTTGTGCAAACTAAAGAGGCGTGAATTACACGTTTCCGCGTCGCCCTCGATGTGTGCTCTACTCAAAACCAGCTGCGCAAGCCCCGGCCGAGGCGGTCAGGTCCAGCTTTGTTGGCTGCATGGTGCACCATGTCACGTGGAATTGTGTTTTACCGAGTGACAGGACTATGCCACAGCAGTATGCGGGTGCCTACTCGCTCTCCCCGTGAGGCGACATGGCCCCTAGGGTAGGCAAACCCGCAATACTGGTGTGTCGTATCACTGACACATACGGCGCGCGGGCACTTTAATCGTTTTTCTAAGAGAATTGTCACAGTCGGTTTTTTTTTTCTGCGTTACTGACACTCAAGTTCGGCACCTTTTGTGACAGACTGACAGATCCGCACGACTGTTAATCGAATAACCTAGAAGTCAGGCAGCCAGGCTACATCGTTCTTTAAAGAGACCTCTCTCTCTCTCACGCGCTGCTAACTAAGAACAACTGTATGCTTGTCCCGACTAAACAGACCCGTGTGTAAATAGGCCGATGCTGTCTTTGTCGTACGAGGGGATGCCTCCCCTCGACCAGTACCGCCACTCCCCCCCCCCCCCTGGGGGTCGACGACTCTTGGTGGACACAACGTGCTAATCTTAGTGCTCGGTCCTAGTTGAACACGACAGGGCGGTGCAAGTTAAGGTCACCGTGACACGAACGTCACCTGTTGAACGCGCGTGCGCTGAACACTGCACGTGTTCGCACGGGGGAAAATTCCCGCCCGTATGGGTATTGAACGGGGCGCAATAAGACACGTCGGCAGATCGTTAAACCGGTGCCTTTAGGCCGCACGGAGGGCTGTGATGTCGGACATCACTCATCACACGTCACGAGTGATCGGGTGTCTCGGCCCGCCACGGCCCGCCACGACACTCGATCCCGAACTTGTCTCCGGCGTGGCCCCTGCGCCACCCGTCCTCACCCCGCCCCTCTGTCCTGGGCGGTGCTCTGCAGCAGGTCGCGAAGGTCGGCTAGTTTCTGCGACGCAGTTTTGCACATACACCACAGCTGCAGTGGTTCGTGGTGGGGTGCTGCGTCGTGGTAGTGGAACCCATGATTTCGGAAATTATTGCAATCCTTGATTCGTCAACAAACTCAATGTTTTAGAAGCAGGGGTGAGAGCGCCGTATAAAGGGGGGCCTACCCAGCCTCCGGGAGGTGTTACTCGACGAGATGCCCCTCCCCTTTTTCCTGGACCCGCACAGCGCCCTACCCGGGGCTCGGGAGAGGGGTCACCGCACGGCAGGGCACCGTGGGGCACAACATCGATCGGCACAAGCCTGAGGGTGAGGTCAGGGGCGAGGAGGGGGATGCGAGAGGGGGAGAGGGAGGTCACCGGTGACCCTCCCGCTAGTCTCCCGCTGCTGGAGCCAGCCACCCCATCCGTCCCGCTCGGGCCCGCCGCTGAAGCCGGCTGGAGTCCTGCTGGTCACATCGGTCTGCCGCATTACGGTCCCTGGCTCTGCGCCTACTTATAACCCGCACCAAGCAACAAAGTAAGCCGTCGTTCTGTGTGGACGGTGCGTCGGGCAGCAGCTGCACTTTACATACTCACGACGACCACGTGCTTACCCACCGCGGGGGGAGGGGCGGGGGCTAGCGCGGCGCTACGCATGCCGCGTCGGCGGCCGCGCGCGCACGCGCACCTCGGCGGCGGCGTGCCCGCCGCACGCACGCGCACGCCCGGGACCCTGGCCAGGCGCCGGCCTACTACTGGCGCCGACAAGGCAGGCCCCCCGCCCCGCGCCCGCCCCCTCTGCTGTCCTGTCTCTCCCGTTCCGGTCGCCCCCGCCCCCTCCGCCCCTCGGGGGTGGGCCCTGCCCCTGCCCCCGCGCCGCCCCGTACCGCCCTTCGGGTGCGCCTCCCTCCCTATGTCGATCGATGCGCCATGGGATAGACGCTATGGGCAGCGCGAGCCCTAAACTATAGGCAGGCGGGGCGCTATGCGCAGCCCGGACGCCGGCGTGTCTCCCGTGGGTCTCGGGCTGCTGTACGGCACGGCCCACGGCGGGGGCGGCTACCGCATAGGGTACCAGTGGCGGCTACCGTCCCATGGCCTGGTCCTGGTCCGGCAAACTCTGCGCTCGGCGAGGCGTCAATGCTGCCCGAGAGTGACCCGCTGTCGATGCAGGACACGGTGCCCGGCGGGTACTGCCGAGTTATTCATGCGTGCTGTGTGTCCCGGTGTGTCGCCCCCCCCCCCCCTCTCCGCTCACCACGGCGGGGCGGGCCTGGGCGTGTGTCCCGTGTGTCCCCCCAATCATGCTTAGTATGTAACGGTGCTGCAGCAACCTCGATGGGAAAGGAAGCGCCGCGCCGCCTCGAAAAGTCCCGATCCGACCCATCACCGCGGTGTGGCGTGTGAGCCGGGCGGGCCGCGCGTATGCGGGTGGCTGGTGTCGAGGCAGAGCCGGCGCCACCACCTGGAACTGGATGAGCCGCGCTGCGTGAACCTTGGGATCGGCTGACCTTTCCAGCCACTCGAGCTAGAATGACAGTATAGACACACGTTTTTGCCCCGGCCGCGAGCCCGTTGAACCTGCCTCGCCCTGCCGCCGCCCGGGACCCGACCGGGGCCGCCGCTAACGAGCCCACCCACGCACGCGCTTCTTCGCCAATTCAGGGAGCCGCGGCGGCCGGCGAGCGACGTCGGCGCAATCAGCACATCATCGGCGACCCGACCACGTGGGCCGGGCCTCGGCCGGGCAGTCCTTGAGCGTCCCCGCCGCGGGACCCGGGACCCGGGCCGTGTGCGACCACCCGGCGACGGCGGCGTCCGGTGGCACCTCGCCGAGGGGTTGCTGGAGGACAGCGACGTGGCAATGAGGCTGTCACCGGGCCCATCCGTCCGGCACGGGGGCGGGGGCGGACGCGGGAGTTACCTGTCGGCTCGGTTAGTGAGCAACAAGCTGACACGAGCAGGGCGGGGGAGGCGGGCGGGCTCTCTTGTTCCGGCTGAGCGGCCACGACTATCCTGCGGGCGCGACAGAGGCTGCTGATTGATACAGGTTGTGCGGACGGTGAGCTGGGCGAGAGTTGTTCAAGTTCTAGTGTGGGTTTCCCTCCGCACTTCAGTGCCTTACAGTTGACACAAGCGGTGGCGCACACACCGACACCACACATCCTCAAAACACAACGAGAAAGTATAAGAGTGTTTTATTATTTTATTATTATGGGGGGGGGGGCAGAGACTTGTCATGCAGAGACCTCCCTCTCCCCCCCCCCCTTTTCTCGTTTTCCTTCTGCTCTTCGTTCCGCCACGTACTCCCCAGCTTCCGGCCTGGCATTGGCCACAGTTTACTTCCGGCGAGGGGGAGAACTAGACCAACTAGACTAAATAATTATAGTGTCGCGGGAATCGTCATGTCGGGTCGATGTCGGGTCGCACACCACACGCCGGAATCTTTTTGTTCCCGGCTCCTACCAGCACCCTCGCGGATAAGCATACGCACTAAACTAGGCAGACGCGCGTGTTTCCTCCCGAAAGCAAACAGTTCCGCATAGGCCACGCTGGGGCCACGCACTATCGCACCGTCCTCCTCGGCCGGCTGCCCGCCAGACCGGAGCGCGTCAGCAGCAGGGGAGTGGTGCCGGTGCACTCCAAGGACACGCTCACTCGCCGCTGCCGCGTGCCGGGCCGGCCAAAGCCAGCATGAAGGACTCGACTAGGGTATCTGTCTCCTCTTTCTTCCCTCAGTTTTGATGATAGAGAACTGTTAAATTTGCATCATCATGCTGCTTAAGCAGCGAATTCGCCCACTTGTTTTACGAATATATTATAATACATTTTCCAAAAATAGCGGGCTGCATAAGATCGTGCAAAAATTCCACATTAGTTCTCAAATTCACTGAGTGTCCCGCACGGAGCGAAACTTTACAAAACTGCAGGCCTTTAGAGGGTCGATCTGGGGGTCGATACACTCGAGCTCGCTTGATTGATCGTGGTTTGTTGGCATGGCTCACCTGGTATTGAGTCACTAGCTACTCGCTGTCGTCCCAACAGCTACTCTCTGTCACCCTGTGTACCAGCACAGACATAGTAAAGATAACATCAAAATTATGCCAAAAATTGCGAAATTCTGTCTCGAACCGGGTAGATCAAAATGTTACCGTAATATTTCAGATATTTCTTGACATTTTAAAGCATATGCATTTTTTATTGATTTTCTTGGAACAGAGTTGTTTGGGTAAGTAGTGCCCAGAATACGTGTATAGAGCGATTAAATCCGTGAGCTGCAAAGTGTGCAACGACACTGGTGCTCGCTAAAACTCTTTCACTTCCTTTCTCTGTGATTCTCGCGGCCGATACCCACGAGCCCCCCGCCATGGTCACGGCCGGCCAGGGCGCAGCTGGCGCAGCTGGGAGGGAAGCCGCAGAGCTGCCGGTGAGCGGCCATGGGCCGCGGCGCTCGCGGAGTAGAGGGAGAGAGGAGGCGGCTGCCACAGAGGCTGTGCTACAACCAGTGCGAGAGGGATGCGAATAGAGGAGCACCCCCGGGCCGGGGCTGGCGGGGCCCGGCCAGGTGCATGCATCTGGGCATGCAGCGTGCGAGGGGCAAGCCGCCACTGGCAGCGCTGCCAGTCGCATCAGGCATCAGCATCGGTCTTGGCATGCAACGGGATGAAGAGTTTTATTATAAAAGGAAAAATGAAAAGACACTACCAGCAAACGTTGTTTTTATTATTCTTGTTTTCTTTCTAATGGGTGGGTTTGCTGGCCGGTGTACAGCAACAGAGGCACGTCGCGCACCCTCCCGAGGGGGGCACAGCTGTCTGTCGTCCCAAGCCCGTCGCTCCGCACCGACTTCTCCTCGCCGTCACCTTGAGCGAGGAAAATTTTCGAGCCGGACGGAAATGTGAACGCCCCTGCAGGTGCGAGTACACAACCTGCCTGTCATTCGCGTGACGTGCCCCACCCCGCCCGCCCACCACCTCGGCGGTGTGTGTCGCCAGACAACAATGATGAGCAAGGGTACGCCCCGCGCAAGGTTTTTCGTCTTTTCGACGGACGAAAATAGTTGTTGCGCTTGCCAGCCGGCTGCAAGGTGAGAGGCGAGCGGGTAGAGAAACTAGGGCGAAGGGTTGCCAAAGGCGGTACTGTTTACACTAATGGTTTGAGGCCCGGCCGCGGCCCTGTCCGCTGCTGGCCGGGCGTGGCGGTGGTGGGGCCCCGCGGAGCCCCCGGCGGGTAGGCCGGCCCGCAGCACCGCCGCGCGCGCACCACCCTCATGTTGCCTACCCTGCGACTGCCAGGCGCCCTCACGAGCTAACTCGCACTTTTCAGTTCAAAACAAAAATAATTTCTTTTGAAGTGTTTAATTTAGGGGGAAGTGGCGACTTCCTTGTTATCCTACACTTTATATGGGCCTTGGATGATGCCATGACATTACTATCCTCACCATGTATGTCGCACCACCAATTTATCCCAACTGTATTCAGAAAGCTAAAACTTCGAAAGAAAATTCGAACCATGGATCCGTTTTTCTTAAAGGCTGATTCTTGTTGCAGGAGAGTTCGGGAAGTACCAGATGCGGCAGTTCCTGCTCCACATCCTGGCGGCGCTCACGGCCGGCCTCCACATGCTCACCTTCGTCACCGTGGCCGCCGTCCCGGAGCACCGGTGCCTGATCCCCGACGTGGACGTGAACGCGTCCGCCTCGCTCGCCTCGTCCTGGGACACGGAGGAGCTGCGGCGGTGGGTGCCGCGGCGCGAGGACGGCTCCTGGGACGGCTGCCACATGCTGGACCCGGCCACCAACGCCTCGCTGCCCTGCGAGAGCTGGGTGTACGACTCGACGTACTACACGTCCAGCCGCTCCATCGAGTGGGACCTGGTGTGCGGCCGGCGCTGGATGGGCGCCGTGGCGCAGGCCGCCTACATGTTCGGCGTGTTCGCCGGGGCGGTCACCCTGGGCAGCCTCGCCGACAAGTGAGTAAAAGCCAAGCCGGTAGGGTGCATTTGTTTGATCCTCTCCAGAGCTCTGCAAAAGTCCCCTCACCGACCGACCGAGCTGACCGGCAGGCGGTCGGCACCGACCGCGTGCAGGTGAGAGGTGAGGAGGGGAGACAGCGCGGGAGCTCCTCTCCTCACCTCTCACCTGCACGCGGTCGGTGCCGACCGCCTGCCGGTCGAGCTCGGTCGGTCGACGAGGCGATTTTGCAGAGCTCTGATCCTCTCCGGTTAGTGCCGGGAAATTCAGGACAGTCGGCAAAATTCAACAACAGACTAAGCGACAACGTAGGTAAACTATCTTGAAAAGGAAAACAAAGCACTTTATGTAAAAACTAATTTTAATTTTGGGTGTAGGATTTTACAATGCACTATAAACATCGTCTTTCGATTAATGAAGAAACATTTACAGTAGAGAAATTGAGTAACGTGTGTGATCGGCCTGCCCTTTGCTAGGTACGGACGCAAAACAATATTTTACATCTGCGCCGTTCTACAGCTGATTCTCGGCGTGGCGGTGGCTTTCGTTCCCGAGTTCTGGACGCTGCTCGTCGTCCGCTTCTTCTACGGCGTCTTCGGCTCGGCCGGCGCCTACATCACCGGCTTCGTGCTCAGTAAGCGTGACGAGACAAAACCCCCCGGCTGCAATGTGGCGCGAATGCGTAACGTCGTTTCTGAACGGCCCCTGCAGTAACGTTGCGCGCCCCACGGACGGACGCGGCCAAGCTCGCAGGAGGGCGCACTCCTTGAAATCTCCCCTTTAATCTCTCCTTTTCTCACCCTCTGCAGCCATGGAGCTGGTGGGGCCCTCCAAGCGCACGGCTTGCGGCATCACCTTCCAGGGCTTCTTCGCCGGCGGCGTGATGCTCGTCGCGTTCTGGGGCTACTTCATCCGGGAGCGGGTGCTGCTGCAGGTGGTGTACGGCCTGCACGGCCTCCTGCTCGTCGGCCACTGGTGGTGAGCACAAAGTTCTCGTGACCGCGTTCGTTCTCAATTTCCCGAATGACGAGCAGTCCTTTGACGATTCTCTCCTTGCGTTCTTCGAGCCTACTCCCAGGTGTTGTGTGCATTTGTTTTGACACGTCCTCCTGACGGTCGGCAGGCTGATCGACGAGTCCCCCCGCTGGCTGTGGTCCCAGGGCCGCGTCACCGAGGCCGTCACCATCGTGGAGAAGGCCGTGCGCGTCAACGGCGGCGAGGCCATCGACACGGCGCACTACGTGTCCAAGGGCAAGTCCCAAGAGCGGCAGCGCGAGGACGTGGCGTACGGCATCTCGGACCTGTTCCGCACGCCCAACATGCGCGCCAAGATGCTCAACTGCTGCCTCAACTGGTGAGTACCCAGCGGGGTCCACGAGCCAGCCTCTTGCGACTCGCGGAGGCCACCCGGCTCCGGAGACAAATCGGAAGAGCCTACCTAAGTTCCTCTACCGGGGTTGATCTGCTTTGATTTGCCACGACTCTTCTCTGCGCCCAGGTTCGCCAACAGTCTCTGCTACTACGGGCTGTCGTTGAACACGGGCAAGCTGGCCGGCGACCCCTTCATCATCCTGTTCCTGGTGGGCCTGGTGGAGATCCCCAGCTACGTGGTGACCATCCTGCTCATGGACCGCACGGGCCGCCGCTCACTCATCAGCGCCATGATGATCCTCGGCGGCGTCGCCACCCTGGCCGCCGCCTTCATCCCCCAGAGTGAGTCCCGGTGGCGCCCGCACCAGACGGGCCGACGGGCCTCGCCCGCCCGGCCCTTAGGCAGCACCTCGGGCTTGCCCGCACTGCAGTGCGCGGGGCTGAGCGACGCTTTGGAGGATCGTTCCTCGTGCCTGCACAAGCAAGGCTCTGAATGGGTAGGGCCAAATCGCAGCTTTTTGGAATCGAGTTGAGACGTACTTACCTTCCAAGTAAGGGATCGTCCAGGAAGTACCGGGTGTTCAGGCTAAGACATGCCAGCACGTTGGGTTGCCTATGGACTGGCTGCAGGGGCTGCAGGCGCGGGACGGGTGGCGGGGGAGTGGCAGCTCCCCGACCACTCCCCCGCCTGCACCTGCAGCCCCTGCAGCCAGTCCATAGGCAACCCAACGTACCCCCCGTCTTAGCCTGGACACCCGGTTCGTCCGTTTTTCTCGGATTCATGAGACAAGTTTGCGGGAGCTCGGCGCCTGCGAGACTCGGGGTACGCCAGCCCGCAGCACACGCACGCACTGCAGACAAGATGTTGCCTACCCACCAGGCGCTAAGAGAGCTTGCATTGACTGAACTTGACAGGCCCGTAGGCGGGAATGACGTACTTTCTGCATGATCCCTAAGTTGTGGCCTAATGCCGGGCTTGAAAGAAGGCTGCAAATATTGTATCTTAACCCATCCATATATCAAAGCACACTCCTCCACACTCCACGTACAGTTTTTGAACCAGTCGTATCTACGAGACTGCGGCGTCCTTTACATGAATTTCGTGTTTCATTACAGCGACGTCGGCCGGCAACGCTTCCGCCACGACAGTGGTGATGATTGGCAAGTTCATGATTGCGGGGTCGTTTGCCATCATCTACAACTACACGGCCGAGCTGTTCCCCACCCCCGTGCGCAACACGGCCCTGGGGGTGGGCTCCATGTGCGCGCGTCTGTCTGGTGCGCTCACACCCCTCATCACGTTACTGGTGAGTTGGAAAATGTTGGAATATCGTGAAGTACTTTGATTTTATGACCAGGTCAGGCACTCTCCATGGAATGGTACAATGGTACAGTACACACCCTCTTCACCACCACCTACATTGTTGTGTTGCAGGACTCTCTGGACAAAACCCTCCCAACTGTGATATTTGCAACCATAGCTGTGACTTCTGGATTGCTCTCACTCCTTCTGCCAGAGACCCTAAATCAACCCATGCCTCAGTCTATGGAGGATGGAGAGCAGTTTGGAAAGGGTGACACTGCCTGTGCGTCTTGCTTCGGTCGAAAACCTGTTGACCAGAAATATGAAATTCCTCTTACAACAGTTGATTAGTTGGTATTGAAAAAAGAGAAATGTATTTTTGTAGAAACTAAGCTGGTGGTAAAACAACAGAAGTTGTAATGAACTTTGTAAATTGTCAGATCTGGGACTTGGATCCAATAATATGGAAAAGGCAAAGCTCATTCATTTTGTCTTTTATACTTAAGAGAAACATTACTAGTTTAAGTTCTCTTTTTTTCATCGCTTTGGTATCTGTGATACTATTCAGCATAATAAGTATAACAATTAGAAAGAAAGAAAAATATATGAAAAGTTAAAATCTGACTTTCTAATCTACTCTAGTTTTTTACCTATAAATTAAACTGTAAATTCATTCCATGTGAGTCATGTGTTGTAAGCATCTTTAACAATTAAATACACAGTGCTCATTTTAACAGTTTGATTCTAAATTGATCAGAGTAACTTTATAGGGCAGGACCATTATACTTTTGTCTGTTAACAAGAATCAGAGCAGAGTCATGAGACAGGTGTCCTTTCTGTCAGAATGCTAAAAACAGCATCTTTTTTACAACAAACAATTACAGGGTTAATGATTCTCTGAAAATTCTATATTTTAGCTGATAGAATATTTTCTGAAGTACAAAATTTTCTTTGTAGTCTTAAGTTTCTGTGGCAGTTCTATAATTCATAATGCAGTCTGATATTGTACCAATAGAGCAGAAGCAAATATTAAGAAAGAAAGACAAAATACTTCATTCTATTACTATTTTATAAATTACTAAGTTTTGATCATGACCTCCATCTAAAGTGTTAGAGGTTATTTAGTTTGAGAACAAAATGGAATTCAAAATAAAAAGTACTCATTTTACCGTCACATCTTTATTTTAAAATGTTACAATTTTTTTTTAAATGTTACATTTTTAACACAATGTTTGCTACATGTACAAATTGGAAGAGGGTGCCGGTATAGCTGACTGGAAAGATAAAACTTTTTTGTCAAAGAGTCCTTGAAATACATGAGAAAATATTTTTACCAAAGGTTCAGCTGAAATTGAATCCAAATGATTGGAATCACTATAGCAGATGTACAGGCAACCAGGCTTTTTGAACACCTCACACCAATTTAAAACTGAAAAATACAAAAGAAACATTCAGTTAGAGTTTACATGGTAATTCAAACATACTACGCACTAAACTACCAATATGAGATGATTATTTACTTACTTGAAGCTGGAACACCAGTTACCATATTTGGTGGCTCTAATAAAGGTGCTATAACATCCTTGCTGTCAAATGTTGATGTGTAAAGAATTCTCATGAATGCTGATGGCAAGTCTAAAGTTGGATCATTGCCTTTGTAAAATGGTGCAGGGACAGTAGATACAATTATCACTTGACTGCTTAGTTTAAAAACAGGAAGAAGCTGAAAAAAAAACAACAACATCAATATCATTTTCATAGAAAGAATTGGGATTAATTAATGACATTTTAGGTACATTTCAGAACAATTTGTCTTCAGTAGATAAAGTACATTCAACATGTATACCTCATTTAAGACAAGATTGGAGTTTCCAATGTCTACAGTAGGGCATAAACATCCATACACTCCATTGGATAACTTGTATATTTGAATCTCTTTGGACACTTTACTGCGGGTCAACAACCTCTCTTTCAGCAGCACGGCTGACTTAGAATTTATACCTTGCAAAACCTTCAGCATAAAATCTGAGGGAGAAAAGGCAACAACAATTTTGTTCTCGGTAATCTGCATTTCATAATATTTGAAGGAGGAAAATGAGATGATTCGATATACCTACCTCCAGAAAGTTTACCATTGAAGAGAAGGAGAGTATTTAAGCTATTGGGAGCCTCATCTTTCCACTCAACTTTTACAGCACTGCAAGAAAAGAGAAAAAGATTACTTTTAAATGAACACAGACTGTCCGCCACAACTGTTTTTAAGTTTAGAGGTTGTGTTTTTATCTCTCTAGCACCACAGCCATAACCACCCTAACAATCAAAACAGTGACAAGAATAAGAACCCTAGAACTGGAGTAGGCAAGGCCCGATTATGATAGAGATGGGAATGAATAGAGTTACCATCTCCGTGATACAATGACTTGCAAACAAGACAAGCGTGTCAGCAAAAAAGATATAGAGGGACCATGTCAAACAGTAATGTTTGATGTAGGATGCAAGCTCAGATGCCTACATAGATTAACACGATTACGACACATGAGATCAAGGGGAATTTCGATGTGCACTGGTCATCATTTATTTACAGGTTAGATACTGTCTGAAGGTTACACTCGCCCTGAGCACTTACTTCGTTGCCAAATCCTCTTGTGTATCTTCGTCATCACTACTTTCGTCGATGTACAAAGCACGCGAAACAGGTTCAACTACTTCCCCGAAGAGTGGCATGACTCTACTTCTTCGAAAATGACAAAATTAGCAAATGTCAAAAAGTGTTGAGAAGTAGAACCGGCGCAAGCAGTAAACAAAAACAAAGTATGAGAAGGCTAGCCAACCACAGGTCATTGACCCGTGATGGGTTTGTTGAACGACTGTCCAAGCCATACACTCAATAGCCTATTACAGATCCCTTCTTCCGTTTTCCGTCTGAAGTAGTAACAATACGTCAACATAGTTTACCAGTTCGGCTGTTATTAGAGTAAACGTTAAGTTTGATGTTGGCCGCCTGTCTTGCGGTCCAGAGAGAGTGAGAGCGCCATCAACACTCTTGATCTCTACCCATTCATGGCGTCGTTAGTTGTCCTAAACGTTCTTCGTTGTCAGTAAATCCGCACCGGACCGCCTCCGTCTCAGCGTAACTCCACTAGATTCACTAGACGAGATGGAGGTGGGCGGCCTGCCGGATGATGCGCTAGCTACTATCTTCTCCTACTTGCCGCCCCTGATGTTGTTGGACAGCGTCCCCCTTGTCTGCAAGAGATGGCATCAGCTGTCGAAGCACCCTGACTCCTGGAGAAACGTCAATCTCTTCATTGAATTTTCCACGGTCGACGAAGAAGTGAAAAAATTGGCAAGGTTTGCCAAAGTTGCACCATATTTAAATCGCATCGACTTCAGAGATGCTAGAATCTTTGGTGATGAACACAACGAGCCAAGGCACATTGAATACTACAGGAAAGTCAAGTCTATTGTCGATGCTCTTCTTCAGAAAAAAACAATTGTGAAGTCTCTGCACACATTTCGTATTGTAACTAGGGAGATGCGAGACCTTTCCAAGGATATGCTGAAAGCATTTGCCTCCTCTCTACGAGAAGTGTTTATTCCCTTAGAAGAACCTCCAGTTGGTGATCCAGTTGAATTCCATGAGGATCTTAACAATCTACTGACACTTGTTTCTAACATTCCACATCTTCAAAGCCTTGGATTTGTCATCAATGACATCGGACACCTACCAAACTACAGAGGACAGCTCGGGAAAGGTTGTCCCACACTGAAGAAATTTAAAGTTTTCAGCACTGCTGTACGAGGCAAGCACTGCTGGAATAGTCTTATTTTTGACATTCTCGGGTGCAAGAAAGAAAGCCTAAGAGAAGTGGAATTTAACTTTGCCCTTGAACCTGTTGTAAATTATGAGGCTGCTCTGCGCTCTTGTCAGAACTTAGTGAGGTGCAAAGTGCCTTTTGAGATGCTTCCAGTTATCGAGCACATGAGCAACTTACGCAGTCTAGAGATTTGTGGTAGCACTGCTGATGTAATAACGCCAGAAAAGATTGCTGTATTATTAAAGTTTATTAAGGAGTCTCGAGTGATGGAAAATATTACAGAGCTGTCACTTAATGAACGCCTGTTTGGTATAAAAGTTGCTGATTCTCTCAGACTCTTCTCTGCATTATCCGTAAAATGTAAAGAAATTCAAATTTTCAGAATGAAATTATTCATTCATATTCAACACGTCTTAAATATTTTATTCTCAAGTATGAAACACATTCATACTGTATTTATTCAGGATTCTATCGGCCTCTCTGGTAATGATATTGACCTGCTAAGTAAGTCATCTAAATTGAAGTATTTAAAAATAACAAATATAATGTTTTATGCAAAGTCAGACCTTGAGAAAACAAAGAACGCTATTAGAATGCTACAGTCAAGTCGACCACAACTTGTGGTTGTCTTCAATTCTGAAGAAAGCATTTCATCTGATACAGAAAATAATTATATTTCTTTTGGTCTTAATGCCAATGATGAAAATGATGATGAAGAAGATGGTGATGCAGCAGGTGGTGGGAATGGTGGAGGTGATGAGTAAATTTTGCAGGATTTAGTCTCCTACAGCCATAGGGAAAGATGCCCTATGATGGCCACCTTAAGAGATGGATATGCCTAATGATGGCCATCCCTTGTTTTCTTGTAATGTAAAGAACGAAGCGAGGTAGTTTGGCTTATTATACCATGGTAGGTATCTTACTAGAACATTAGTGACAAAGTGACAAGTTTGGCTGCAAATCGAGAAAAGTGGACATCACTGGTACAGTGGCCATCATTGGGCACCTTACCCTACTCTGTTAAATAGAAATTCAAGATTTCACGAAGAAGTAGTAGTAAATAACTGCCAATGTCTTTTGGGATTTTCCGATGGCCTGAATAGTATTGTTTAACAAAACTTCTGCGGACAAAACTTTGTGTGGTAAATTTTACGATAAGTATTTTGACTGTCAAATCAAGTTTGTAAACATGTGGGCGCCTCTTCTCATGACACAACTTGAAACATATGAAACAAAGTCCTCTGGGAATTCCCCAAAGTGGTTAAGAGTGAATCTTTGGGAAATACCAAGAAATTTTTAACAGTGTGCGCCTCTTTGTCAATTGTTTAATATAGATTTTAAGCCAGAGACAGGGACATTTAAAGTTGGTCTCACAATGGAAAGCTTTATTCCACTTAAAAGACCATAAATTTCAGTTTTAAACCATATTCCAGCACTTATAGTATCATATTGTTGCTCTCTCCAAAAACTTATTGTATCATTTGCATCTGCTTATAAGGTTTTAAAATTGAAAATATATGTGTTGAAAGTGAAGTGAAGCCCCATAATCAATTCCATCGGGGAACCATCTTAAGACTTCTAATTGCTTAGGCTTAAAGAGTCTAAATCCAGCATATTACTCTCTTTCTAGTTTCGCAGCAACAGTCCCCATCAGTGCTGAGGTAGCCCAAGTCTGTCTCGGTGCACGGCGTGGGCCAGACCATTAGGTCAGACTGTAGCCATCTTGCCAGAGAATATTGACTCATTATTTTACAATGTCCAACCTAGCGGTCAGAGTGACCAAGTTACCAGAGTAACGTTGCCCAGTGAGAACACAAAGTCAAAATGGGGTCTTTGCCGGTTACTTTGACATCCAAGTCCCTACCTGGGAGGACTAGATTTGAAAGTCACTTTGACGTAATTTTGACTTTAGCGTTCTCATTGGGTGGCTCCAAACATTATTGTATGTCTGTGTCTTGTACTAACTTAATTTATTTATATTACTGAGATGTGTATATAGTGAATAAAAGTTCCTCAAAGATTTCTCGCATTTTTGAAATCTTTTTGACAATCCCTAAACTCTCCATCAAATATGTGAGGCTGTATCACCTTGAAAGAGATAACAGATAACTGATCCATTTGAGGAAGGGGCGACTCTAGTGATAGTGCGCTGGGTAGGCCAACCCGCCAAGCAGCTATGTGAGGCCGGCGGCCCGTCTAGAGTGCCGAAGGCGCCGACGGTCGAGGGGTGGTTTATTGTGGGGGCACCATAACACCATAATGCACATATCCGTGAAAAAACGCAGATGTGCAATCATGCTGATATATTTCCCGTCTAGCTTACTCCTACTTTCCACGGAAATAAAACGAAAAATGCCTACATCAAGTTGCACTTCAAAAAGTTGCGGACCGGATGCACCGGATGTCACCTCATTCAATGAGTCGTAAAAAGACCAGATTTCCAAAGAAATTTTTCGTTCCGATTTATAATAAATCTATATTAATTTCTTTTTCGATTTCTTCTTTTCAAATAGAAGTCAAATCCAAACTTTTGAGGCTTTTGAGAAGGAATTAAGCTAAGACTGTCTCTCCCCCTCCCCCCCCAATAAAACAAAAGAAAAAAACACAAGACAAATGACGATCTCTCGTGAAGTTTGTCGGGCGTCGTTAACCTAAAATCCTACTAAAATGTCAAGTGCAAGTGATTACAAGTTTTGATTTGATGGGTGCACAAATATTGCATTATTTTTGATTTGAAGCTTAACGGCAGTGGCCCCCTTTTTTTGGTCTTACCCTTTCCTTTTGAATAGCCTTCGCTTATGTACTCTTAGCGATTCATTATTCTTACCGACAGTAGATTGCTAGGCAAATATGGCTCTAAAACCCCTGTCTGGAAACATTCAGGAGGAGATGAACAACATCCCCCTCGCTGACGACGATCCACAAGGTGTGTAACTTATCTTTGAAACTTTACTGGCGTCTTGTATACTTCTGTCCACTGTTCCTCCGGCTGTTGTCATAACCTCTGCAAAACTAGATTGTAATGTTCCAACATTTAGATCATTCTGTCTGCTTGATTTTCAGATATAATACAAGATGAAAGTGAAGTAGGCGAAGTATCTCAGAATTCTGATGCTATAATGAGGGGAAGGAGCATGGATTCTATTCCGTCCACATTTACGAATGGAAGTAGCAGTCCGGGACCTAACAGTGAGTTCTCTGTATAAAATTTGTCACCTTCTTTAGGTACTGCGTAACGATTAGACCGCCATTCACTTTATTGCTGTTCTGTATTCTTTTGTAGGTCTCGATCCAGATGTCAGCCCAGATGAACAGGAGGAAAAGGCTCGACTTATCTCTCAGGTCCTTGAACTTCAAAACACCTTGGATGGTAAATATTGCTCTCGTCTTTTCAGGCACATTGATGTTTTTCTGGCCATTAGCAATAACCAGCATCTCTCCCTCCAGATTTATCTCAAAGGGTTGATAGTGTTAAAGAAGAGAATTTAAAACTACGTTCTGAAAATCAAGTTCTTGGACAGTACATTGAAAATTTGATGGCTGCGTCCAGTGTCTTCCAATCTGCTGAACCAAAGAGTAGTAAGAAATGAAATTTTTTGGAGACCACCACCAGTATTGACTGTGTTCGCTACTCATTATCTGATGAGTGTGATTGGAAATATCTTCCCAAAGAGGAGATCAATTAATGTTTCGGTTATTCACCACATTTCCTGTCACGCTATAAGCTTTAAGCATATATTCCTAGCTGGCCTCTTGCACTGAATGCTCATTGAACCACATCAACTTAATGGCTTATTTCTAAGCCACTATGTAGTGTCTACTACATTTAAAATGCTTCTGTAACTCTGGGTTTAGATATATCAACCCAAATGACCATGTGGCAAAAGAAATTAGATTCGATCATTTAGGCTTTTGAAAAAGTTTATTTTTATTTATAATTTGCAAAGAAATGTCAGTCAGCAGATGGTTTAAATGTGTCAAACTTATGACAGAGTCATTTTTATTAGGAGATAGAAAGTAAAACTTTGAAAAGTCTGATTGTTAATATAAATTATTAATCTAGTATTGTGTGCTCTCACACATTCCATTTAGTCAATAGATTGGAGTGATTATCCTCAGCTTTTGTATTGTTCTGATCTTGTGTAACCTGCATTGTTAAATGTTATCATCATTTTGTAACAAGGAGGATTATTCTGTGACTTTCATGAGGAGAACCCGGTATACACTAAAATCTGTATAGTAGCATTGTTCTTGTTTTAATTAACAGTATGTGATAAAATCTTTGCTTTTACCTTTTCTTAAAAAATAGTTAAAGAGGCTTTTGCTATTAAGTGTTGCAGTTGATTACTAGATAGGTAATCATGTGATCGCTGATGTGTTTTATGATGGAAACTATCTGTTACTGTCTTTGTTTTAAATTTAATGTATTGATATCT